ACTGGAGCATCTGTCGGCCTAGCCAGCCACACCCTCCATGTGTCATCACTAAGAGCCAGGGACACCCACAGGTCCATGAACTCTGTCTGTGGACGTTGCTCCTCCCCAGGGACTCTCAGCTTCAGGCCCTCCTTCGATTCCTAGAAAGACCTAGATGCCCCTTATCTCCTGGCACCACTGGCAGTGCTCTGATGTCTCCTCACCCCACCAGACCCGCTCCCCGAATTCACAGCTCTGGTGACTCGGCAAAATGCAGCTGAAGCCTATCAGTCTGTGCCAAGCTCTTAGCTCAAACACAGTCCCTCCTTCTCCACAGTGCTCTGTTATACTTGAGGAGTGCCCAGAAAGCCTAGCACCCAGATGTCAAGCTAGTTACCCATTAGACTCATAGGTCTAACAGGTCTCGCCTGCTGGGGAACTCCTACTCATCCCTCGCAACTGTTCTCAAGCTCTGCCTCCTCTTGCAGACTTTCAGTCCACTCTCTACTGAATGGGCCACAGGCTTCCTGAGGACAAAGCTGATCTGTGCTGGCTTTACCTCTGTTCTCCCTACACCTAGTATAGGACCTAGCACATAGTAGGTATATATAAATATTCTGTGAAACCTTGACATGAAACTTTCCTTATTAGGCTAGCTTAGTGTGTTCTTCTCCAAAAGATATTGTCAAAACAAAGGACGTTCTGGAGAACAATGACACTAACAACTGGGTTTATAAATACCTTTTACAAAGGAAGGGTACTCAAAACTACAGAAAAGCAAGTTTACAGATTAAATGGAACAGTAAGTTGATCAAGCCTGGCCCACAGCATGTCACAATTCTCTGGCCCCACAAAGCACCATGTACCTTTCAGCTCTGTCCCCTAACACTGCAATCTGGTAGGAATCCAACAGAACATTCCTTCACTCTACCCAGGGAAGGAAGGCAATAGCTACAATGGAGAAAGGCAGCAGCAGCATGAACATGTGTGCCTAGGATCAGGCGAGGACATCTGATTCAGGCTACTCCACTGCACACCCTAAGCCCTGCAGCCAGGGTAGGACACCAAACATCCCAGGGACTCAGGGTTCACTCACAAAACAGGAATGTACACGATCATCTGCTCTAGCCACTTGCCAGAGATGCTGTGAGGATCAAACTAGATAACACAGGCAAGCTAGACAACCAGTTAATGCTTGGGTCATGGACTAAACCAGGATCAAAAACACACCTCCAAAATCCATGGGACGCTGGCCATGGTGGCTCATGCCTGCAATCCCAGTGCTCTGGATCACTTTGAGGCAGGAGGATCACCTGAGGCTAGGAGTTGGAGACCAGCCTGGACAACACAGCAAGATCCCATCTCTATAAAACAGTTTTAAAAAAATTTATATATCAGCCAGGCACGGTGGCTCATGCCTGTAATCCCAGCACTTTGGGAGGCTGAGGTGGAAGAAACACTTGAGCCCAGGAATTCAAGACCAGCCTAGGAAACATTGTGAGACCCCATCTCTACAAAAAATAAGAAAAAGAGTCAAGCATGATGGTACACGCCTATAGTCCCAGCTACTCAGGAAGCTGAGGTGGGAGGATTGACTGAGTCCAGGAAGTTGAGGCGGCAGTGAGCTGTGATGCTATTGCACTCCAGCCTAAGCAACAGAGTGAGACCCTGTCTCAAAAAAAAAAAAAAAAAAAAAAATCTACAGAAAAAGGGAGATGAGCCAATTAATGTCTGCCTGCCCTGTGTAACTGCCTTTGGCCTCCTCAAAACCACACCTGGCCCATACTAACATGTGACTGCATCCCAGCCATGAGAAGGCTTTCGGGGATTCTGTAAAGAGACCATGAGGAGCTATTCATACTCTTGCCATCTGACAGTGGTCAACTGAAGCAGGCTACCACAGGCATACATGACCTGAGACCTTTCTAAAACTGATGTTTCCTTGCTGGGCATCATGGCTCATGCCTGTAATCCTAGCACTTTGGGAGACTGATGCAGGCAAATCACTTGAGGTCAGGAGTTCGAAACCAGACTGGCCAACATGGCAAAACCCCATCTCTACTAAAAACACAAAACTTAGCCAGGCATGGTAGCGTATGCCTGTAATCCCAGTTACTCGGGAGGCTGAGGCATGAACCCAGAAAGTAGAGGTTGCAGTGAGCTGAGATTGAGTCACCGCACTCCAGCCTGGGTGATAAGGGAGACTGCCTGGCAAATAAATTAATTAATTAATTACCATCTGATGTTTCTAGATCAGCTCAACAGCTATGCTTACCACACGTAAAATGCTGGGAATAGATGCCCACCTTTCTTTAGACTTCCAGTCAACACCTATAGTTCACCAATCTAACATGACACAGGGCCTTTTCCAGCAAGATTGACTAAAACTGAAATGTTAAAAGCCAGTTGAAAGAATCCAGATCTCCAACATAACCAGACCTCATCTCTCAAAAAATACAAAAAGAAAAAAAGAATCCAGGTCTCTAAGTATAAACACTTTCCTTCTGAAGTTGGTCTCTGCTCTCTAGCTAGATAACTAATTCAGCTGTTATCTATGATAAAGACTAGAAGAAAACGATCCATTTTCTTCCCTGCAAGTTTAAGAAGTGCACCTCAGTTTCTCTGGCAGTATGAGACTCTAGCACCACCATTTCAGTCAATATTATTTTTGAGGTGCTTGTTTAAAGGGGCTATTCTCATTCACACTAGTTCAAGCACACTAAATACATGTGCTTCTATCAGATGGTGGAAGGGGAAAATAGGAGCTTTGAAGACTTCCTATAAATTTAACTTTCCTATCTGTAAATGCACTAGATGGGGATAAAAATGAAAGCCAGCCGGGTACAGTAGCTCATGCCTATAGTCCCAGCAGTTTGAGACACCAAGGTGGGAGGATCACTCGAGCCCAGGAGTTTGAGACCAGCCTGGGCAACACAGGAAGACCGCATCTCTACAAACAATTTTTAAAATTAGGCTGGGTGCACTGGCCCACACCTGTAATCCCAGCACTTTGGGAGGCCGAGGCAGGTAGATAATCTGAGGTCAGGAGTTTGAGACCAGCCTGACCAACAGGGAGAAACCCCGTCTCTACTAAAAATACAAAATTAGCCAGGCATGGTGGCACATGCCTGTAAGCCCAGCTACTCAGGAGGCTGAGGCAGGAGAATCACTTGAACCCAGGAGGCAAAGGCTGTGGTGAGCTGAGATCGCGCCATTGCACTCCAGCCTGGGCAACAGGAGTGAAACTCCATCTCAAAAAAAAAAAAAAAAAATTAGCTAGGCGTGGTGGCATGCACCTGTATTCCCAGCTACTCAGGAGGCTGAGGTGGGAGGATAACTTGAGCCCAGAAGGTCGAAGCTGCAGTGAGCTGTGATCTTGCCACTGCACTCCAGCCTGGGAGACAGAGCAACACCCCATCTCGTTTAAAAAAAAAAAAAGAGAGAGAGAGAAAGATGCAGTAGCTTCCCATGATCAGAATTTCGGAGGCACAGAATTCTGGAGTTCAGGCAGCTTAGATGCTGGCCTGGATCCCCACAGTGTAGATCAGGAGACTGAAGCTCCAACATCGACCCAAGACCACAGAGACCTCACAGGCAGAGAAGTTACATCACTGAGGAAGTAGACGAGGCTCTGACTCTGGCAGTGTTGCCCCCAGCCTAGTCCCTTGGTCAAGCATTTTGCATGCACCACAAAGCAGATAGTCCCTAGGGGAAAGAAGTTCTCAGTGTCTGAGAACACACTCTTAGCGTTGGCATGGTCACCAGAGGGGTTGGCAAACTTCAGACACCAAACCTAAAGTCTGATGAGGAAAGCCTTTCCAAGATAGCTGCAGTCATGTTATTTCATAACTTAAACACCTGCTTCATCACAATTACTAGGGAAAAAAGGGAGACTGAGAGAAAGAAGAAAAAGAAAAAGAAAAATTAAGTATCTCCTTTATGATTTCCTGTATCTGCTTGGATCATCCTAAAATAGGGAGTCTCCCTAATGCTGACTTTTTTTTGTTTGGTTTTGGGACGGAGTCTCCCTCTGTTGCCCAGGCTGGAGTGCAGTGGCATAATCTCAGCTCACTACAACCCCCGCCTCCCGTGTTCAAGTGATTCTCATGCCTCAGCCTCCGAAGTAGATGGGATTACAGGTGCACGCCACCACACTCAGCTAATTTTTGAATTTTTTTTGTAGAGATGGGATTTTACCATGTTGGCCAGGCTGGTCTTGAACTCCTGATCTGAAGTGATCTGACCGCCTCGGCCTTCTAAAGTGCTGGGATTACAGGTATGCCAGCTAATTTTTTTTGCATTTTTAGTAGAGACAGGGTTTCACCATGTTTTCCAGGCTGGTCTCCAACTCCTGACCTCAGGTGATCTGCCCATCTTAGCCTCCCAAAGTGCTGCGATTACAGGCATGAGCCACCGTGCCGGGCTCCTAATGCTGACTTTAATGAGGACCTTCCTAAAGCTGATCCAACTAGTAGTGTTCAAGTCCTTGGACTGAAAAACAAGTTTATGAGCAGCAAGGTCACCTGATTCAGACCATGTGTAGGCTGTTTACACTGAGATGACAGGTCAGTGGCCACAGCAGCTTTCATGAATGCTGCAAAGACTCTACTATCTCTTTGAAGGCTACCAGGGCCTTTACATGACTAAATGCCATAAAAAAGAACCTCATGAATACAGTAAGAATGTGAAAGGAAGGAAGTCACAAAAACACCACATGCTTATGAGGGAAACCCCATTTTGGACACTAAATTTTTAAAGTAAACTTGTTACTTGTTTGCCTAACCTTCTAGGTATCAAATTACATCATCACTAAAAAGAATCCCCTGCTTTACCCCCAACACACCCACTGGCCATCAAGATCTGCTGCTTCGACCAGACTGTGCTCACAGTCAGGAAACAGTGGCAGCCTAGACCCATGCGGCTCACCAGCTCACATCAGCAAGTGCCAGCCAAGGGACCTGAACTCTGACCACAGGGATCAGCTCGTGTTCAGGGAAAGAGGGTGGTCATAAACAGCTTACCCATCTCTTCCTTTGCTGACAATCTTCACTTCAAAGTAATAAATGCCGCAGGCAGCAGGTATGGGGTGGGTGGCACGCACCGAGGCCGCATCTTTGTGATTTTTGCCATGACCTAACAGGGGAGGGCAAGGAAAAAATTTCAGCAGAAGGAAATGCAAATGGAAGCCTCATTTTTCTCTGCAACTCCTCCATGGCAACTCCACTCCTCTGTGGCCAAAGGAAGCGCTTACACAGTCCAAGGAATCATTAGGCAACTGAGTAAACACTTAAACCTTCCACCTGTGCCTCACCTCCTCCTGACAACAGCAGTCCTGCCTAAGACACTGCCCATACAAACAAAACAAGGGTACAGGCAATGTGAGAGACACCCACAAGGGTACAGGCAATGTGAGAGATACCCAAGTGCTGCTGGCAGCCTCTCTAGAATCCAGGCAGCCCACCTAGGAGGCCAGGGGAAGGAGGAGGCCGACCTGTAAGACACCCCCCAAACTCTAGCACGGAACCCCAGGCCCAGTCTAGGTGCCTAGCAGGTGGGCAAACCCATGAGTCTCAGGCTAATGTAATGGCAGGGATGTGACCACCCCTTTCTTCTAAGCAGTGGCGAAGGGTCCCGCTGGAGTTGGAGCCTGCCTAGGACAAGCAGGGAGGTCCTGGAGTGGAAAGTCCGGCCCAGCACTGGGTTTGGACACCTGTTGCGGTTCTCTTGACTGCAGGTGTCTCGGGACTGAGAACAGTCAACCCTCGGCCTGGTCAGCCGCACCACCCTGGACATCCTGAAAGGGCCAAGGCCTAACTTGGAGCACCTAGGCAGGCAAAGGGAGGTGATGGGGCGGGGGCCTGGCCGCAGAGCCACCCCACGGACGCTCTAGCCTTGATTCCCCGCAGCCTGACGGGCCGATACCTTTGTAGTGGACGCGGAGGTTGCCCTGGGAGAGACCAATGTAGTTGTATTTGTCCTTGGGGCTCCAGGAGCGCGGCAGCGGAGTCTCTTGCTGGTTGACCGCGGGATACAGGCGCTGCAAGCGCCGGCTCAGCTCCTGCTCCCCGGGAGACGGCAGACCGCCCCCAGCGCCCCCGCCGGAGGAGTCCCCAGCCTGCGGGTTCCCAGCTCCCGGGTCTGCCGTCGCTGCCGCCATCTTGGAGGGAGCCGCTATTGTGTCACTGGGGGCGGGGAGGAGCGGGACCAGATCCGCCACGCTCAGCCAATGGCCCGTGAGCCTCCCTGGGCCGCAGGGAAACCGAGTCCGAGTCCGGCACCTCTCTTTGGACACTGACACGCCTTTGCCACATTTCGAACTCCATACCCCACAATGCAGAGCTCTCGAGAGGCGGAGCAACTCGGGCTGGTAGAGAATTCTGGGAGATGTAGTACAACCCTTCTCAGCCATAAGCCTATCCCATCGAGACGTCGGGACACCGAAAACTACAATTCCCGCCGGCAAAGCGGCTCCGGCCTCTCAGCAGACTTCTCTCCCCATGGCCTCTGTTCATGCCCCTGCCCCAGTTCTGGTACCTGGGGTCAAATCGGCTGTAGTGATTGACTCTCAGGGCACCCGATGCCGGGTCCCAGTCCACCTTTGCTACTTTGTCCTGCTCCCAGCCTGCGGGCGCTAGGCTCAGGGGCGCGGCGCATCCCTGACTCCGCCCTCACCGCGGGGGCCTCTGGGGCCTGGTCGCCATAGCGACGGGCTGTACACTACCACAGTTTCCCAGGCCGCGGGTGCTGGTTGCCCGCCTGCCCGTGGGTCATGGCCTGCCAGCAGTCGCGATACCACAGCTTCTCGTCCGCGTCGAGGTAGGCGCTGGCCGGGATGAGGGCAGAGAGGAGGGCTGGAGTATTTCTAGAGAGGGAAATGGCACTTGATAGGACCTCTGCACCTCCTGCTGGCCTCTGACCATTGATCTAGGGCTCCAGCACCACAGAGTCAATGGTTGCAGGAACGGTTAAAATCGGGCTGATTTAGCCCAGTGAAGACGGTACGTGCTAGCAAAAGGGCAGGCCTACTTTATCATTGCTAGTAACAACCAGCTTGTATTGAATGTACTATATGCCACATGCTTTATATACCACATTTTTAAACATTTTATTTTTGAGACAAGATCTCACTCAGTCGCCCAGGCTGGAGTGCAGTGGCACTACTACGGCTCACTGCAGCCTCGACCTCCCAGGCTCAAGCGATCCTCCTGCCTCAGCCTCCCGAGTAGCTGGGACTACAGGCATGCGCCACCACGCTCGAATAATTTGTGGGTGTTTCTTTGTTAGTTTGTTTTTTATAGAGACGAGGTTTCACCAAGTTGCCCAGGCTTGTTTTGAACTCCTAGACTCAAGCGACCCTCCCACTTTGACCTCTCAAACTGGGATTACAAGCGTGAACCCCCTGCACGCGGCCTATGTACCATATTTAATCCTCATAACAACTGTATAAAGTAGTAATATTACCATGTACAAGTAAAGAAATACTTTAGAAACCTGGTGAGATCATCCTTTGGGTAGCTTCTACCTGTACTTAGGTGTATAGCCTCTGGATACTGCAAAATATGACCAGCTCCATCAGCCTGGAAAGCCATATATATGGATTAAAACAAAAATTTTGGCTAAATCATTTTCTAGTTTTGGGACTTCAGAGAAGGTCCTTCAAGTTCCGGGCCTCAGCTTATATATCTCAAACATGGGAATGATACAGTCCACCCCACAAACATTGTTGGGAACATTTAGACAGAATATGTGAAGCTCTTACCACAGCTCTTGTATGTAAATAGGCACCCAGTAAGTGTTGAATGAATGTCGTGTCCCCCCCTCTACTCATTCCCAGTGGGAAAAAAAAAAAAAAAAAAAACCACCACCCAACCCCAACTAAACTCTCAGCCTTCAGGGTCTGCTGCCTTGACAATGAAAAGCCTACAAAAGTCCGTAAGAGGCCGGGCGCGGTGGCTCACGCCTATAATCCCAGCACTTTGGGAAGCCGAGGCAGGCAGATCATGAGGTCAGGAGATTGAGACCATCCTGGCTAACACGGTGAAACCCCGTCTCTACTAAAAATACAAAAAATTAGCCGGGCGTGGTGGCGGGCGCCTGTAGTCCCAGCTACTCAGGAGGCTGAGGCAGGAGAATGGTGTGAACCCGGGAGGCAGAGCTTGCAGTGAGCCGAGATTGTGACACTGCACTCCAGCCTGGGCAACAGAGTGAGACTCCATCTCAAAAAAAAAAAGGTCCCTAAGAACAGGAAATGCCAATTTGATGATTTTTATCCAGAGTTAAAATTAGTCTACAAGAACCAGGCAGCAGGCTTGAGAAAGATAATTGTTGGGGCCAGGCATGGTGGCTCACGCCTAAAATCCCAGCACTTTGGGAAGCCGAGGCGGGTGTATCACCTGAGATCAGGAGTTTGAGACAAGCCTGGCCAACATGGCGAAACCCCGTCTCTACTAAAACTACAAAAATTAGCTAGGCGGTGGCTCATGCCTATAATCCCAACACTTTGGGAGGCCGAAGCAAGCGGATCACGAGGTCAGAAGATCAAGACCATCCTGGCTAACACAGTGACACTAAATGTTTCTACTAAAAATACAAAAAAAAATTAGCCAGGCACGGTGGCAGGCGCCCGGCCAAGACCCTGTCTATTAAAAAAAAAAAAAAAAAAAAAGCACAGCCAAGCACAGTGGCTCACCCCTATAATCCTATTACTTTGGGAGGCCAAGGTGAGTGGATTGCCTGAGCTCAGGAGTTTGAGACCAGGCTGGGCAATATGGCAAAAACCCTGTTTCTGATAGCAATACAAAATATTGGCCAGGCGCAGTGGCTCACACCTGTAATCCCAGCACTTTGGGAGGCCGAGGTGGGCAGATCATGGAGTCAAGAGATTGAGACCATCCTGGCCAACATGGTGAAACCCCGTCTCTACTAAAAATACAAAAATTAGCCAGGCATGGTGGCGGGCACCTGTAATCCCAGCTACTCAGAAGGCTGAGACAGGAGAATTGCTTGAACCTAGGAGGTAGAGGTTGCAGTGAGCCGAGATCATGACACCGTACTCCAGCCTGGCAGCAGAGCGAGACTCCTTCAAAAAAAAAAAAAAAAGAAAAAGAAAAAGAAGGCCGGGCGCGGTGGCTCAAGCCTGTAATCCCAGCACTTTGGGAGGCTGAGACGGGCGCATCACGAGGTCAGGAGATCGAGACCATCCTGGCTAACACGGTGAAACCCCGTCTCTACTAAAAAAAAAAATACGAAAAAACTAGCCGGGCGTGGTGGCGGGCGCCTGTAGTCCCAGCTACTCGGGAGGCTGAGGCAGGAGAATGGCGTGAACCCGGGAGGCGGAGCTTGCAGTGAGCTGAGATCCGGCCACTGCACTCCAGCCGGGGTGGAGGAGCAAGACCCGTCCTCAAAAAAAAAAAAAAAAAAAGAAAGAAAATCAGCCAGGCATGGTGACGTGTGCCTGTATCCCAGCTATTCTGGAGGCTGAGGCACGAGAATTGCTTGAACCAAGGAGGAGGAGGTTGCAGTGAGCTGAGATCTCACCACCGTATCCCAGCTGCCTGGGAGACAGAGCAAGACTCTGTCTCAAAAAAAAAAAAAAAAAAAAAAAAAAATACAGGCTGGGAGCAGTGGCTCATGCTTGTAATCCCAGCATTTTAGGAGTCTGAGGTGGGTGCATCATTTGAGGTCAGGAGTTCAAGACCAGCCTGGCCAACATAGTGAAACTCCGTCTCTACTAAAAATACAAAAACTAGCCAGGCAGTAGTGGCATGCACCTGTAATCCCAGCTACTCAGGAGGCTGAGGCAGGAGAATCGCTTGAACATGGAAGGCGGAGGTTGCAGTGAGCCGAGATCGGACTCCAGTCTGGGCAAGAGAGTGAGACCCTGTCTCAAAAATAGTAAATAAATAAAATTAAAAGCAAATACAAACATCATTAATCTACCATATTCCTTATTCACCAGGATTTAGTGACATATGTTGGGCCAGAGTCACTGTTTCTCTTAGAGACACTGTGGGTGTCCTCATCCTTTCCCTTTAAAGAGGGGCAGGATGATGGATAGGCTAGACCTTAGCACTGTGGAATATGTCATCAGGACCCTCTGCAAGGGACCTTCAAATTGTGCATTTTCCTGGGGCAGGCTTCTCCTCCCTATTGGCTTTTCTCCCTTCACACTCATAACCCTGGCACTTGGTGGATAGAACTCAGCAGCTTGCGTTCACTGAATACCAAGATACATTCCTGACAAACCCACTGCCTACTACCTCTTAAATAACTGAGCTTAAGGCCGGGCACGGTGGCTCACGTCTGTAATCCCAGCACTATGGGAGGCCGAGACGGGTGGATCACGAGCTCAGGAGATCGAGACCATCCTGGCTAACATGGTGAAACCCCGTCTCTACTAAAAATACAAAAAAATAAATTAGCCGGGCATGGTGGTGGGCGCCTGTAGTCCCAGCTACACAGGAGGCTGAGGCAGGAGAATGGCGTGGAACCCAGGGGTTGGAGCTTGCAGTGAGCCGAGATCGCGCCACTGTACTCCAGGCTGGGCGACAGAGTGAGACTCTGTCTCAAAAAAAAAAGAAAAAAAAATGAGTTTGGTCTAGCTTTGAGGTAGAAATATAAATGTTTCCCATTCCCCTCTGAGGGTTACCGTAAAATATTTAACATAATACATCCTAAGCTTTTTTTTTTTTTTTTTTTTTTGAAATGGAGTCTCGCTCTGTTGCCCAGGCTGGAGTGCAGTGGCGCGATCTCAGCTCACTGCAACCTCTGCCTCCCAGGCTCAAGTGATTCTCCTGCCTCAGCCTCCTAAGTAGTTGGGACTATAGGCGCGTGCCAACACGTCTGGCTAATTTTTTGTATTTTTAGTAGAGACAGGATTTCACTGTGTTAGCCAGGATGGTCTCGGTCTCCTGACCTTGTGATCTGCCCACCTCAGCCTCCCAACGTGCTGGGATTACAGACGTGAGCCACCACGCCCAGCCCAAGCATCCTAAGCTTTTTGGATGAGTGTACAGGCCTTAGAAGGTGTTTGGTTTGCCTTGTTTTAGGTCTGTTTTATAATGTTGTCTCCTTTGATATTCAAAACTAACAACATCTGTTACCTACTAAACTTTTACATTCAACAGCTTCTCAGAATTTATAGAATTCCCCAATTTTCTTGCTTACCTTGCCTTTCCTGGTGGTTCCAGCATGAGCAAGAACAGAGTTTGGAGAATTGATTAGTCTTTTTTTTTTTTTCTTTTTTTTTTTTTTTGAGACAGAGTCTCACTGTGTCGCCCAGGCTGTAGTGCAGTGGCTCCATCTCGGCTCACTGCAACCTTCGACTCCCAGGTTCAAGAGATTCTCCTGCCTCAGCCTCCCGAGTAGCTGGGACTACAGGTACCTGCCACCACACCCGGCTAATTTTTATATTTTCTTAGTAAAGACAGGGTTTCACTATGTTGGCCAGGCTGGTCTTGAAC